CGCGCAGCCTACCTCCTCTCCTCTCTACACTACTACACTACCTCCTCCTCTCGTCGTCTCTCTTCTTTCTTCTCTCTACTCACACACACGCGCGCATCTCTCTCTCTCTCTCTCTCTCTCTCTCTCTCTCTCTCTCTCTCTCTCTCTCACACACACACACTCCGTCTCTGGTCCTCTCTCTCTCTCTCTCTCACGCACACCTCTCTCTCTTAGACACATACACACTCTGTGAGTGCCGCTGACTCAGGAGGCCATGCAGGCCATTGCTGCATCGGGTTATGCGCGCTCAGTGTACATTAGCATATAGCTAGATTCCCCGCGAAAATCGCTCAGACAACACAGTTTTCCCATGTTTTCACTAAAGTTTTTCCAAAAGGTTTCACAAAAGTTTTCCAAAAGTTTTCCCAATTTCCCAAGTTTTCACAAAAGTTTCCCCAAAAGTTTTCCAAAAGTTTTCCCTCACCTTTTATTATTCTGCTTTTTTATGAGTTATTGTATTCTTTTCTGTTGCAGGCATAGATCTATACTTTAAAACAAGACACAACACTGGATTGATATTTTACGCAACTTCCCCGGGAACCCAGGAGGAAGTGTTAGCTGTCCAGTTGCAAACCAATAGACCATACTTCCTATTCGATCCACAAGGTGCAACTTGATATAACACAAACTTACAAATGCACATCAAATATAATTGTTGTTATTATTGTTTACATTTATTATTTTTTGCATTGCTAGTATTAAATGATTTATTACGTACACAAGATCATGTAACTTCTGCAGGATTAGTTATTATGAAGAGTAAGAAGGTTAAAAGGAGATTTAATGGTAAATAATTACAAGCGAATATAAGGTTGTTCAGCAATTGCAGAACAAAAGGAGCGTCAGTTGAAACCGACTCTAGGTTTTTAGCTCGCCTTGACATCGTCAAGATGAGCTATTGCCATGGGGTGTCGTCCGTCGTACGTCCATCTGTCCGTCTGTCAACATTTGGCTACGGTCAACGATAACTCAAGAACCGTTTGACCCACATGTTTCAAATTTCATATAGTTGTTACTCCTATGGGAGAGATTTAAACGTTCTATTTTGGAACACGCTAGTCGACCTACATTCGAGCCACGTCCAGTTTTTGGCAAAAATGGAAATGGCCATAAATCAGTTCAGGTTCAACGGATTTTGCTCATTTCTAGTATGTGGATGAATAAGGACTGGCCCCAAAACATATCACACGGGTTTTGATATTTTTTTAAATTATGCAAATTAGGTAGATTTTGGCAATTTTACTATGCATTTCAGTGTCTGCCTACAGTCAACGATAACTCAAGAACCGTTTGACCCACATGTTTTAAATTGAATACAGTTGTTACTCCTATGGGAGAGATTTGAACTTCCTATTTTGAAGCACACCAGTCGACCTACTTTCGAGCCACACCCACTTTTTGGCAAAAATTTAAATGGCCATCTAAATTCATTCGATTTTGTTAAATTTTGGTATGTGAATGTGTAAGGCTATAGCCCCAAAACAGTAGTTACTGCTATGGGACCTTGAGATGAAAATTAATGTCGTATTACGTTTATTTCGTCTAACTGGTCAGCAACTCTACAATCATACCTAGCTATATACGTGTAATATTGTGTTTTAGATTCTTCGTTACAGTAATTTGACTGGAATATTTTACTGTTTTTACTTGCGCGATATTCGAAAACCAAAATGGCGATCATTTAGGCATTGCTCCATCTCTCGTCAAGATTTCAGACTTTCAGATCTGAAACATTTATTTTCGCATCAAAACTTATGCATATGTCATTATCAAGAGTATATAATGGGAGATATGCTATATAATGGGAGTTCTCCCATATATACTCTTGCTTTATATATCCCCCTCCCTCTTCTATCACACCCAAGGTGAGCTACAGTGTCATTGACACTTTCATTACAGATATTCTCAATATTTCTCGAACCTAGTGAATGTACATTGAATCAAGAGCTAATAAACACACAACGGGAAAACGGGAAAATAGTGCTATTTCACGGCAATATTATTCTACTTTGCCTGCTAGTTTAGAATAATTTTCTGGTATTGCATTAAGCAGAATTCTTTGCTCTCTAAAACAAGACCAACCTCTTATACCGTCAATACGATACTCCTAGGCTGAGATATTGGCTCGTAAACTTCCACTCCCACAGGCCTTACGGCGCCTCGCATCCACAATATTCACTATATCCTTCTCGCCTTTTGCGGGTTAAGAAAGTCGCTTCGTGAGAGTTCGGTTTTTTCCGCGATAACTTTATGAATGAACGGCGTTTCGGTTATCATCGGTGACTTTCGGTCGCATCGCCTATGCCCTTATCTCCCATTATCTTTCCTAGCACGGCTAATGCTCGTCATGATGGAGCCGTCAATGTTTTCTAAATTAAGTCTCTACAACGCAGCTCAGTTACTATATGGTGTAGTACGATAGCCAGACCAGCAAAAGGCGAGAAGGATAGTGAATATTGTGGATGCGAGGCGGCGTGAGGCCTGTGGGAGGCATGATTACGCTCCAATATCTCGGCCTAGGAGTATCGTAGATACAAGCGGTTGGTCTTATTTTAGAGAGCAAAGAATGCTGCTGAACGCAATACCATGAACTTGTCTAGAACCGCGACCAAGTGTAATAATATTGCCGTGAAACAGCTTCTATTTTTCCGTTTTCCCGTTGTACACTCTTAGGTATTTATTAGCTCTTGATTGAATGTACATGAATATGTTGAATGTCAGGAATTTACAGATGCTACTTATTCTACTGGATGGATATATAGGTGTGGATGTACAGCCTTGGCCTGGTTGATATGTCTGGAATATGTCTCTCTAATTCAAAAACCGAGCATGTTTACGAATGATGATGTGAAAAGTCTTGAGTGATTTAGATATTCCGGTCTGTTTATTGTTTGTTTAATTAATTGTTGTTTATTTGTTGTTTATTACTACATCAAGGTGCTGATGTTTGTTTTTTGCGACATACATATTTTTTGTCGCAGGGTGCTTCATGCAAGTTACACCGGTCAACGACGAAGGAATTCCTTACAGCGACGACACGTGGCACCACCTAGTGGCTAGAAGACACGGCGACTATGGAAACATCACGCTTGATGATGTGTTCTTTGGTACGACTATTGTCTGAACATATATTAAAATATAATGCGCAGCTCATAGTGATCCTATCTGCTTCCACCGTCATCGTTTAAAAATTCCGTACATGTACAATCAAACCTGTAAAGATAGGTTACTCAAAGAAAACCCTGAAGTGTCCTTTAGAGACAGGTATCTGGTCTATGTAGAAGCGTATGCTAACACAGGCTCGATTGTACGTGTTTACGTGTAATGATTGGTTACAGGAGACAAGATTTCTAACTGTGACTTACGTGTAATCAGGGTGCGAAATTAAAGCGAGTCCAGAGTCAAATACTCCGGGATTTACTGTTGGACTCCCTGATTTGACATATGCAGGAGTTCGTGTGACTCCCTGAAAATTCTGCTATACTATAACTAGTTCGTTCCAGAGCACGGCCTCGCGGAATTACCGTATTTTTCCAGCAAATGTCCAAAGAAAATGTGGCAGACGTACAACCGCATGAATCTTTAAAATAAGCACATGCGTTATTGTTAATATCTTTAGTTTTGAACTTCAGACTGCGGACGCCATCATTTTGCTACGGACTCCCTCTATTTGAGGGCAGGGAGTCCGTTGTTCACAAATTAATTTCTACCCCTGACTGTAATGGTTGGTTACAGGAGATAAGATTTCTAACTGTGACTCTGGCAGTATCGTTGGTACAAACACGGGCGTTTACATCGGAGGACGTCCGAGTAATTTCGACGACAAGCGGATTCCGCTCGCTAACGGAGACTATCGTCTGCAGGTTAGGTTACGATTAATTCACAATCAGTTTCTCTCATCTGTGTCTACAAGTCTGTGTATACTACTGTATAGTATAACATAGCATAGCATAGTGTAACTTAGTGCAGTGTGGCAGAGCATAGCATAGCATAGCATAGTTTAACATAGTTCAGTGTGGCATAGCATAGCATAGCATAATATAGCATAGCATAGCATAGCATAGTATAGCATAGTTTAACATAGTGGTATGATATATGGTATTATAATGAACGTGTGTTTACAGAAGTACTCAATATATTCAATATATTCATGGTGTAACTTACAATAATATAGTCTAATATACCAACATCAACGTTTTATTGGTCTGCGTTAGCCGTTATTACCGGTGTCATCCAAGCAACTGTTCATTCGTTAACAATCCGACGTTATTGCACGAATCTTCTCTAGGTGACTAACTCCAACTATCGTGGCTGCCTGCGGGACGTCAAGCTGCTAGTGCAGGTACAGCCGGAGGAAGTCTGGATGCCTCTTGACTTCAACGAGGCCGTCATCAACGAGAGGATGCTGCCGACGTGGAACGGCTGTCCCACGGACACGCAGCCCGGAATTCACTTTCTCGGCAGAGGTTTGCGTTAATCTTCCTCTTTCGTTAAGTGAACACTTGAGGCAATCACTTTCTTGGCAGAGGTCCTTGTTAATCTTACTCTTTCTAAGTTATTTGAGGGAACATTTATGGCATTCACATTTTCTATTGAGGTCTGTGTTGATCTTAGACTTTTAGGATGGTGAAGCGAAGACTTAAGACATTCACTATCTTGGGAGAGGTCTCTGTTAATCTTCCTCTTTCAATACGTCTCTCAGTTTGTGAGGACCTGTTGATTTAACTCGACGTGTGCAATTCGATTTCTCTCAGTATTATATCTAATACACGTACCACGTGAGTTTCCGCGATAACATTTCTCTTCGCGAATCGATTTTCGGGTTCGAGGCTACGACCTGACATTCCGCCGGCACCGCGCGTTTGTCGTTGCCGCAGGTTACGGACACTTCCAGGCGCGATTCTTCATGAGGTATCAGGGCGACCGCAGCAGTTACTTCTACTCCTTCGAGCTTCGCACGGAGGAGACTTCGGGAGTTCTCCTGTACATGCACGCCTCCACTGGCGTATACTGCTTCCTGCAGATCGTCGACACAAAGCTAGAACTGAAGGCGAAAGATCAAACCGGATTCGAGGTCAACATGCTGCTAGACCCGGCCAATTTCGGAATCTCCATATGCGATACAAAGTGGCACAAAATCGCAATTAATAAAACGGGTAAGGTTTTCGTGGATTGTTTTTTTTTGGAAATGGATCATGTGCTGTGATCGTAAGTCCATTTTAATCTGTGAGCCATATCGGATGTTCACACACCAATATTTATTTTATATCACCGAGGAAAAGTATCAAATTGAATATGCCGCAATACACGAATGTCATTTTTCCGCTTCACGATTCTGATTTCTAATTCTCAATTTCTAATTCTCTCTGGCATTCCAGTCCTTGGCATGGCATTGTCATTTACTGCTTTACGGTTCAGATTTCTAATTCTCGATTTTTCAGTTTTTATTTCGCTAAACTTTCTTGCGTTGCAGTCCTCGGCGTTGAGTTGTCCATCGATGGCAACAAGCCACCGATGGTGTACAGTCGAATCAAAGATGAGGAGAGGTTTCAAAGATTTCAAGAGCTGTACATCGGAGGCATACCTCCAGACAGCGTGGAGGTCCAATACGCTGAACAGGACAACTTCAAACCTGTCAATGGTCAGTGCAGGTTTCTCTTCACGTTCCTCTGCAGGTTTCTCTTCAGGTTCCTCTGCAGGTTCCTCTTCAGGTTCCTCTTCACGTTCCTCTTCACGTTCCTCTTCAGGTTCCTCTTCAGGTTCCTCTTCACGTTCCTCTGCAGGTTCCTCTTCAGGTTCCTCTTCAGGTTCCTCTTCAGGTTCATCTTCACGTTCCTCTTCACGTTCCTCTTCAGGTTCCTCTTCAGGTTCCTCTTCAGGTTCCTCTGCAGGTTCCTCTTCACATTCCTCTTCACGTTCCTCTTCAGGTTCCTCTTCAGATTCCTCTTCACGTTCCTCTTTACGTTCCTCGTCAGGTTCCTCTTCAGATTCCTCTTCACGTTCCTCTGCAGGTTCCTCTTCAGGTTCCTCTGCAGGTTCCTCTTCACGTTCCTCTTCACGTTCCTCTTCACGTTCCTCTTTACGTTCCTCTTCAGGTTCCTCTTCAGATTCCTCTTCACGTTCCTCTTCACGTTCCTCTGCAGGTTCCTCTTCAGGTTCCTCTGCAGGTTCCTCTTCACGTTCCTCTTCACGTTCCTCTTCACGTTCCTCTTCACATTCCACTTCACGTTCCTCTTCACGTTCTTCAAACGGGCGTTCCTCTTTCCCCCGGTGCAACAAACGGGTGCACACTCCGTGTTACTGCTGCTACTGCTACTACTGGTGCAGAATTAATGCTGGAGCGTGTCTACATGGCAAACCAGCTTGCATCGTCGTCAACGTCACGATTGTCACAATCGTCGTCATTATCGTTATCGTCGTCGTCATCCTCATTGTCATCATAGTCGCCATCACCATTATCATCATCATCATTATCATCATCATCGTCATCATCATCATCATCATCATCATCATCATCATCATCCCCCACAGTCTTCCCCCGCTTGGAACACCCCGCGTTACGAGCTTATATAGCCTCCCGTTACCAGCTGCCGGTCCTCCCTCGGCATACGAGATGTCACGCTCACGACAGCGATTTCATGTGAAGGCCTTGTTCTGCTTAGAAGCAGTCGCAAGCAATTTGTTTGCACTCGCGAGAAGCGCTTTTGATTTGATATTACTGAACTGGGATCAACGAATAAAACACGGACTCAACACGTAAATGGTGCAAAATGCATGGAGAGCCACAGACTATTACGGGCCAAATTAGCAGCTAATTACAGTCCATTACAAAATACAAGGACTCAATTCTCACTCACTCATTTGTGTCCTTTTTTAGCTCATCTGACATAGTCAGATGCAGCTTGTAGAATCGCATGATCGTCCGTCCGTCCGTGCGTCAACAGTTGGGCACAAATCTTAACCGCTTGACGTACGGTCACGAGATTCGGCACATCGGGGGGATCATCAAAACGAGTTGGGATGTCGAAGCTGGGGGGTCAAAGGTCAAAAGTCAAGAGGTGTAAAAGAAGGGGGAACATTCACTTCTTAACTTAAGGTATAGGGAGGAAATGCAGAATTGCGGTCCTCGCGACGCAGCTTCATGCTAACGTCTACTGTTACTCGTTGATGTGGGATTCATAACCTAGTAGTCCCAATGTGTTCACATCACGCCGAACAGTGGAATGCCAGGATGTACCAGACTCTCAAAGGAATCTGGATAAGTATAAATTGCCAAAATAGCACATACTTTAAGTGTCTTAGATTAAAGATGAACTCCCATCGGTACTATACAACCACTATTTGCAAGACAGATAGTAACACTCATCCATTCATACGCAAGCCTACGCTGCATAGAGAGCTGCCACCTGAACATATTAAACGCAGAAAAAACTACACAGTACACAACCACATGCCTGCAGTCCAATGGCAAGTGGCATATTACATTACACACGGGCAGTACAGAATGCCCTAGAAATACATTAAGGAGCATCAACCTTCTTCAACCAAATTAGCTTTAAAATTTCACTGTGACATTGTAGCCTCATACATTGCCAGGCCTGTATAGCTGATTTACAAGCAAACCCGCGACATCGAAATTCTTTCTTAACAGAAGTAAACAATCCATGTTTAACCTCCTCTTGAGGCTCAAAGTTATCCTACATTACTCTTCGGCATTCAACAGAAGGTACATCTCCATGTCCTTTCATCAAAGCCATAAAAATCGTAGGTACACCGCTGAATACAAAAATGTTTTCAATCCTCCGTCAACCATGTCCTCAAAGAAACATGTCAAAAATCGCCTCTTGCCCATTGACGCTTTGCCTGTGAAACTTCAATTCGGCACAGTATATGTTTCCTACCATGAATGCTATACCCGACTATCACGAGCCAGGTCGGAGCGCCTTTAGACATTTGTGCCGCAATTCTGCATCTTCCTCCCTAATACCTTAGTCAAGAAGTTAATGTTCCCCTTCTTTTCACCTCTTGACTTTTGACCTTTGACCCCCCAGCTTCGACATCCCAATCGTTTTGATGATCCCTCCGATGTGCCGAATCTCGTGACGT